ATAAGGAATATAATGGAGCAGCTATACAACTATATGAATTCTATCCCATCCTTCTTTTGCAACTTTTTTTTCATCTTAATGATCATTTTGATGTTAGCCGACCTCAAACTCTTCTGGGATTAAGGCTTGGGTGTTGTTGTTGTAATGATCATTTTAATAAACGTGACAAGATTGTGTTAATGTGGTGTGGAGCAAAGACGGCAGCGCGAGGCAAGTCCAGCTTGTGTTGATCTTCTCCATCATAAGGGTGTGGTGGTGACTGTTTTTCTGGAAAAAAGGCTGGATGTAAAAATCTTGAACTTTACAGGCAAACTTCCTGCTGCCATTTAAACCCAGAGTCCAGGCAGTGAGCCTCAATTTATTTTTGAGGTGTTCGATTTCCATGGCACTTTCTCCAATACCAAATATGGTACAGGAAAACATGATACCAAAAGAATGGAGAAAGAACACAAGAGTGTATATTTCTTACTCAAACCTGTCCATCAGAAGAATTACTAAGGGAGATTAATACACAGATACTTATTGTTACAATAAACCATTTAAACAGAAGAAAGTGAAAACATTGTGATTCGGAAAATACTGATAGAAAAGAACAACAATGGATAGGATAATTGAATTTCAATAATTATACAACAACAATTTCAATAATTTTAGTTTTACTTTAATTTAATGATAGTTTTAATTTTAAATGTTATGCTTTTCCGAGCACATATAATCAACTTTTCATGATATTGCTTATTTGAAAAAGAAATTATTTTATAATAGTACTTATTAAGCAGGTTAAGACTCAATAGGGTTGAAAAGTTCTTCGGCCACGAATGAGCTCAGAAAACAACCTCAAGCTCCTCTAGATAATAAGAGGACCAAAATACAACTATCTAGAGTCGGTTCAACTTGGTTACATGCTGACTACCTTATAGAAATGGAGGGAGTGGTAAGCATGATTTGTAACTTATCAAGCATATTACACATAGACATAATTCAGAAGCGAATTTGGGAGAAACTCTCTCAACAGCTCATTAAAAAGCTTCAAAACAAGCAAACACAAATGATAAATGTTGATCATGCCTGCGCAGGGTAGCTGATGTATTTTAGGGCCTCAATCCCCATTGCGGGACCAATAGTATTTGTAATGCCAGCACCCCAGTAGCTCCACCAAGGAGCTCCACTGCTACTTCCATTAGACCAAATCTGTATCACTGCATAAAATCAAACTGAACCCAATTACGAATTCGATAAAGAAGTGCTAGAAGACAGATGACAACGTCAGTACATTACAAGAGGCTTACTCAAAAAGGACCATATCAAGCAAATCACATTTTGCGCCAGGTTTAAGAAAGCCAAATGTTCAAACCTCTTTTTGTCCGGACCAAAATGTTTCGTTGATCTATAAATCCAAAAAGAGAAGTTAGCTGCTCATACTACGAGGGAAGATGCTGGATTTAATATTTAGATCAACACATAAATATTAAGTCAGATTTTCACCGAGAAAAATAATTAGTTGAGTCGAAAATATAAGCCAGGAAAAGTTCACGGCGTAGTTTATACATCTGACAAACATTACCAGAAAATAAAACCACGATAAAAGCGTTTCTCAGCAATGGAAAACTTTAGAGATGTAGAATGGAAGAGCGCGAATAAATGTTAGATCATTTAAGAAGCTCAGCAAATGAAGAATCGAAGTAAAACAAAAAAGTGAAAAGATAATGTAATTACACAGTCTCTTGAAGAACGCCTTGATAGATATAGGCAGACCAAATACCGGCGACGCAGAAAGCTAGGACGAGAACGCGGCGGAGTCCGGAGCCGTGGCCCTCCATAATTATGTCACCGGATTAAATAACTTCCTCCCACCCAAGCTTGCCTGCTATTGCGCCGAAGTCCGATCGTCGGAGAGAAAGAAGCAATAGTTTGACGGAGTGTCGAAGCCAACCGGATGGCTCTTCCGATTTCTCCTAAACTGACGACGATGCTGCGGTGAATCGATCAACGATATATGGAGAGACGTTGGGTCAGAGCCACGTCGGGGATACACGTGGCGTGACTTGATTGGGTAAAATGAATTACAGGTGGCGTCTCATAGCAAATTATATCGTGCAAAACGACGGAGTATTGAGGCCTGGTTTCTTGTTTTTTTATTCTTTTGTTTTTAAAAAATGGTAATAACTTTTTTATTTTTGATCCGATTTTTATAAAATTTATATCAACATTTTTTATTTTTCACGATCTTTCAAACGAGACCAATATTGCTTATGTAATTTTAAGAAATTATCGAACTATTATATTAATGTGTATTGGATTATAAGGAAAACCAAACTAAATTTAATACAGAAAAATAATTGTGTAAATCACAAATTATCTTAAAATTGTGTATATAAAAAATTTATTGTATAAGGTATTTATACATGTGATCGAGTTACATATTTTTATATGTGAAGTTACATATTTTTACATGTAAAGTTACATATTTCTACACGCAAGTTACATATATATACACACGAGTTGCATTTGACTTGCCTGAACGCGAGTTACATATATTTACACGTAGAGTTACATATTTTTACACGTAAAGTTACATATTTATACACGCAAGTTACATATTTATACACACGAGTTGCATTTGACCTGTCTGAACGCGAGTTACATATTTTTTTAAGTAAAGTTACATATTTTTACACGTAGAGTTACATATTTATACACACGAGTTGCATTTGGCCTGACTGGACGTGAATTACATATTTCTACACGCAAAATTACATATTTTACATAGGTTAAAATTACATAGGCAATATTGGTCTCATTTGAAAGATCATGAAAAATAAAAAATGTTGGTATAAATTTTATAAAAATAGGATAAAAAATAAAAAGGTTATTACCATTTTTAAAAAAAAAAGAGAAATAAAGAATAAAGATTCGGTGCTTGCCAAATACGCTGCTTGCCAAAAACCGTATGCCGGTATACGGTGCTCACCGTATACCGGTCATACGGTATAACAACTGGCGTCTCATTGGCTGAGTAACACGGGATTCTCACTTTGTTACCCGTAGGGATGGATTCCGGTATTTCAATTCCTTTTTCATCCAAAATCAAATACCTCATCACCTTGTGGCGACACATTTAAAACTCGTCCCATTCAAACATGTTGACATTTAAACATGTTAACAGAATATATATTATCATAAAAAAAGTGCAACAAAAAATCTAAATCATTATCGTGGTTTGTGTTTGTAAGTTAAGCTTGGTAGGAATAATTTCTTACATTTTAGCTTTTATACTACTCCCTCCCTCTCAAAATAATTGGTCATATAAATTTTAAGTATTATATTAGTGTGTAATTTTAAAAATCATACTTTTATGAAAGATTTTCTTAATAAAGATATGCTCATATCAAACTTGACCACTATAGATCAAGAAAAGTCAATTTGGCCAATATTTTTGGGACAGAGGGAGTATTTAAAAAGTACTCCGTATCTAAAAAAATCTTAAGTGCGTGTTTGGCAGGAGTTGAACCACCCGTCGTAACCGTCACTTCAAATCTTGGGAATCACCAAGACATCTATCAAGGCAGGAGCGTCGGGACCACACGACTCGAGGTTACTTTCTATCTTCTATTTTCTTATGTCTCGCGCACGCTCGGAACATCAGAAGTGGGGGACTTGTGTTGGGGTAACTGGCCCAATACAGATTGGCTTGATACTCGCCAAGGCCCCAAGCCCGAGCGGCTCGACCCGGATGGCACGCGCCGCATGACACCACACCCTTGGATGATTCATATTGGCAACCATGGAACTCTTGGCCGGCGGGCTTGGTTTAGTTGGCATGAAAACAAGGATTTTGGCGGAAAGTGCAATTAATGCACCAAGATATGCAAGATTTTATGGTTGGGGATTAAACACTCAAGTTCCTCCACATCACTTCTACCACCTATCCCATGGTAGTATAAATAGTAGCATTTATTTCATTAGGGGTTGACAACTGGTATTCTCTACTTCTTATTCTAGTAGAAGCTCGATGCTTGGCTTACTAGGGAGTGTTGTAATTGTTTTAAGTACTTAATAGAACTTGGTCCACTTACCTTTCCTATTCATTCTTGCTAGTACTTGTGCCTCAAAACAGTTAATTAATCCACCAAAAGATGCTCAACTCACCAAAACTCCTATGAAAGGCCAAGGGAAGGTGTTGGGACCTTGGACCTAGAGGATTAAAACTCAACACTGGTGTCGTATGTGGGAAACTGAACAAAAAATCTTCCGAACAAGCTCTCATGCTAAGTAGCACTTCACAACTCAAACGACTCCAAAACAGCAAAATGGTGAGATTCTCATCTGAACACACCAGGACCTATTCGAGGAGTTGTGCGATAGCAGGAGGTCGTGGACTATGAGCTCCGCGAAGCTGTGACCTTTGGCCCTGATATCACTTGTGGATCATTGGGCTTATTGCTATACTAAAAACAATCGCTGATAGTGTACCACACCCTCCCCCTTTATAGAACAGGCAAAGCGTCATGGTCGATTGCACCGACAGACTGACAAATTGCTAGCGTTGCATACCCGTGACCCAACATCCACTATAAATACAAAGGTTCAGCCATGGAGAAGGGTGTCCGGTTGTAGTTTCAGTGTGCTCATATTTATTTTTATAGTTGCTTTCAAGAAGCATTTGAAATAAGTTTTATCTCCAATGGGTTGGGAAGTGAAGTGAAAACTTTATAATGAAGTAAGAGGCATATAGCCCACAAGACTGGGTTAATTATAGATCTACCTAGATAGGTTTGAGTTGAGGTAGCACAAAGGTATTCTCAATTTAATTCATTCGAGAGAGATCGAGGTTTTTTAATTCCTCTTTGGTCAAGAGATTTTTCTTCATTAAATCTTCGTGCATCTACTTTTATTTTTACTAAGCGAAAAATGACAAAAATATCACATTACACAATTCACCTCACTCTTGTGTATTTCACCCGATTGATCAAGAACAAAAAGGGAAATAGTACATCGGG